CAGGAAACTGGAGTGGCCCTGAAGACAGCACTTCCCAGCACCTGGAAAGCCTTCTGTTATGATTTAAATCTGAAATGTCCCCCCACATGCTCATGCTTGGACCATCTGAGTACCCACCTTGGAGTGCCATTTGGACGGCTACGGAGCCTCTACGAACTGGGGTCTGGTTGGTGGTATTACATCATCACAGAGGGGCTTTTGAAGGTGCTATCTGCCCCCTGGTTCTGCCAATGGTCACTGCTTTCTGGTCTCTGGCTATGTGAAGACCCATCTCACACTCCCACCTCCATGGACAGAGGCATTCCAAACACCATGCCTTGTGATGGATTCAACCTTTTTGAAACCATGAGCCAAAATAAAAATTTCCCTCCTCAAGTTGATTCTGTCAGATATCATAGCTATGAGACAAGCAACAGAGCTTTCGAGCTAAGCCTTAACAAGCTTAACCCAAGAGGCCCACATCTACAGAGCCCAAGAAAACCTCCTCAGATCTCGGGCACACCAAGTCCAGAGGAGGCAGGAGTGGGTTCCAGGGACCACTGCCATCAGAAGACACATGAGAGGGAGGAACCACTGTTGACTCCTCTCCAGAGTGACAAGTCACTCCAAAGAGTCCGAATCCTTCCACTGTGCCTGGGTCAATGTGAAAATTCAGGCAAAGGTTCTTCCCTCCCTATTTCCCCTGTTCTTTGGCAAATACTGTCCTGGTGGCACCACAGAGAGCACAGGGCTAGAGTTCCAGTGTCAGTCTTCATGCACTGAGCATGAGCACTGAGCACATGGGCTCAGTGCTGCACCGAGGGCACGATGCTTCAACTGTCAAAGATTCCTCTGGTCACCCTTGGTATACTGCACACAAAAGGAATCCAGGTTTCCCCATAGTGCCATAGCTGGCAAACAGCAGAGCCAGTACTGGACTCCAGAGAGAGTGACTCCAGAGGAGCCCTGTGCTCCTCTGCTATGAGGAAATAAATCCCCAGGAACTATCCTGGGCTCCTCTAACTAACCCATGAGGGTCCAAGAGTGATGGGGGTCGGAGATGGCAGAAAATGTCTTCCTTCTAGTGAGTTTAGGTATCAGGTCTTTATGCATCTTCAGGTACAAGCTGGCCACAAGGGTCAGGAGGTTGGAACACTGCCGAGCTAAAGCAGAAAAATCCTGTTCCATCCACATCTTGCCCCATCACTCCCTGGATCCAGTCAATCTTCATAGACAGATAATGTCTGCCCACCAGGCCTCCCACATCTGTCCCTGCTGCCCTGCACTACCAACCCCGTCACCTTTCTCCTGGCTAATTTCATGCCAATTAAGCTGGGTCTTGGCCCAGGCAGGGTCTTCAACACACACTCCTTGAAATCCAATTAACCTTCGATAAAGTTCCTGCAATCAATAGTCCTTTTGTGGCTGGAAGAAGCCCCATCTGCCTGTAGAAGGCAACGCCCACATGACCTTTGCTTTTAATAAGATCAATGACAACTGCTGTCGCCAGTTCTTAAAGTGACTGGCAAATATGATCCCTGGATGTATCTGCTGCGAGGCTCGGGGACATACGCAGAGGAGCCCTGGTGAGCTGCTGTCTCCTGAAAGGTGAAGAGAACTGGACAGGGCACCCATGTTGCAGGTCTGAAATGGCAGGTAAGTTCTGATGGCTCATCCTTCATGCTGGGGTGAGGTCCTCTGCTGCAATGAGTGTCTGACCTGCTCAGAGTCCACAATCCTTCCCACCCCAGATTCTCATGTGTACCTTGGGGTGGTGCCCAGGAATTTGCATAACTAAATAGACTCCCCTAATGATTCTGAAATACATGGATCCTGAGCTGGCTAGCACTGGCAAAGCCTCAGAATCACTGGTCTATAAAATATTCAAGTAGAAAGAACCCTTAATTAGAGGTCAGCTGGTCCAACACCTCCACTAAGAGAACTGAGGACCAGAAGGGGGACATACTTGCCTAAGGTCACTTGGCAAGTCACAGCAGGGCTAAAGCCTGCCTCCTAATTTGGTGTTTCTCCACCTGAGTCCATCAAGAACTAGCCATTTAGTCTGGTCTTCAGGTCCTCACAAGCTGGACTCCTGTAGGATAAGTCAGTGTCTTCAAAGTGGAGTGGGGCTGGCGCAGAGGACACAGGGCTGGGTGTCACTTGGAGAAGTGTCATAGAGTCACATTTTAGTCACCACAATGTCATTAACTGCCCTTCCCTCAGAGTTTGGAGTAAGAGTTCTGCCCTTTGCCACTCCTATCTGCCTCCTGCCCTTCCATCCTGAGGAATGCTTGCTGCCAGAAGAGTGCCCCTGGGACTGGTTGGCCAAGTTCATTGGTCTTCAGAATCTCAGGACCATGTAAAGCCTCCAGGACTATGGTGGTATTCATCCTCAGCACACACTACAGGTTCCCAGGTTGGCAAGAGATGTGACAGGTTCATTTCAGCAGAGTAAAGCCTGCCACTACTCTGTTCCCATAGCACATGGCCCACAGCACTACCAGAGGCTTCTGCGGAAGATATTTAATTTCATGATCTCAGAATACCCAAGAGCTAAACCGGGCAAGCCAGGGCACACTTGTGTGTGATCCCAGCACTCAGCAGGCTGAGGCAGAAAGAGTCTGAAATCAACCATAGGCAGAGGATTAAGAAATTACGACAGAGAGGTACAGCATGGTACACCTCTAGATCAGTGGACAGAACCGGTTCCAGAACACATCTGCTTAATGATGAGCATGCCAGCTCTTGAGCTGTGTGACAGTTCAGTGAGGGACAACAGGGGACCACAATAACAGAAATCAGAGCAGCAGTGGCCTCATGGAGAAAGGAGGATGAGAGAGTGTGCTGGGGCTAGACAGTCTGTAGCTCTATCTGGAGGGTGACTGCATGGTGTAACTACTTGGAAATTTACGGAGCATGAAGTTGAGATCTGTGGTTTTATGTAAGTTTTCCTCACTCCAGAGTCTCAAGTTCTTCATTGGCAAATGGACACCCTCATTCTGGAGTCGACAGTGTGGAGAGGACTGGGTATGGAGTCACAGTCAGGAACTGGTCATGTTTAAAGGAGGTCAAGGTAGAAACAACAGGGTCCAGCTACAACAATAATGAAAACAATGGTGACCTGGTCACTATCAGGTTGTGCACGCATGTGCACACACACAGAGACAAAGCTAGCATTGTGTGCATGGCACTACTTGTGAGTTAACTCCCAGAGCCCTCACATTGTCACTTAGAGGTCAGCACTGAAAAATGTTCCTGTGAAATAAACAAGGGGTCACATTCAAATAGCACCCAGGGTGCTAGCCTAAGCCTCTCTGGCTCCCTGGGATAGTACTGATGTGGCCATCATCTGAGTGGCTCCAGGTTCCACCAGAGCCCCATATGAATCTCTGGGAAAGAGCTGAAGAGGGGGTGGAGCAAGGACTTTTCAGCCACACAGACCTGGGTTCTAATCCTGGTTCTGTGATGCTGAGCCTCAGCCTCCTTTACAAGTGAGGTCATTAGATACTTTACACGATATCTATAAGGAATAGAGATGGTATGTGTCACATGCTTGGCACATATTAGTTATTCATAATACTGTTCTTATTCCCAACTGTTTCTGCTATAAAGATGGTCCATGATGCATGGTCACAGAAAGTAACCAATACTCTTTCATCACCTGCCCTTGAACACCAATCCAAGAGGTGATGCACCCTTATTTAATTCTTGGCTAATTGGGATGTTCATTAAGGTCTGTCTGCCCAGATGCTGGCTTTTCCTGCAGTTTTATAAGAAAGGTGACAGCAGGCTCAGAGGCCCACTCTGCCCTCTGCAATCCAGGTGCCTCAAGCAAAAGCCACAATGTATGAGCGTTTTCTGTGTTCACACTTGCCATGGAAAATCAGAGCCACATTGATGAAATACCTTTACAGCCTTAGCTTGCCGGAGCCAAAGAGATGAATGGATTTGGGTGGGCTGCTGGGCTAGAAGGAGATGCCAGTAACCCAGCAGAGTGAAACTGTTGGGTCTCCTGATTAGCAGGCAGAGGCCCTGTTTCCTTTTAGGAAGACTCCAGACATGACCTTGCAGCTGGGCCCAGCCATTCCCCACCATAGCCAGACTGGGTAAGCCACCCAGGTACCGTTCCTACAACATATCCTAGGAACCAAAAGCAAAGCAAGGGGAACAGTCGTGAGTTCCCAGTGTGAGCTAGCAGACTGGCCCAGCTAGGCCTCCTGCTGCCACCTCCCTGGCTACTATGTGGCCATCACACTAGCGACTACAGGCTCTACTGTAGCCCCACATGGATCTCTGGGAGGGAGATGGAGAAGGAAGAGGAGACAGGACTTTTCAGTTGTGCAGACCCGAGTTCTAATCTTGGTTCTGCAATGGTGGTTGTGTGATACTGGATAAGTATCCGGTATCCTAAATCCTGCTGAGGATTTAGTGGGTGTCTGACTCCACCCAACACCTCAACACATAAGGGACCATACCAAAGATGGATGTGGGTAAAAAAGCCCAGTTCTCTTCCTTCCTGGGGGCTTTGTGGTGAGCAAGAAGCAGAAGGTGGGGTACAGACCCTGGTCCACTGGAGTTTCCCTGAGACTGAGGGAACAGGGGGTAAAGATGAAGCCCCAGCCTCTCCCTTGCTCTGTGAAGCTGATACAGATTGCTGCACCAGTCCTCTTGTGAGTACTGCAGTGGTGACCCAAGAGGGCAGAGCTGGAGAAGAGGAACAGGCCCCACAGAGGCAGAGGGACAAATCCAACTCTGCTTAGATGCATGGGCTCAGCTGGAATGAGAAGAGAAGCCGGCAGCAACCACATCCTCAGGAGAAGCAGCAGAGAGGGATTTGCTTGTCCCTGTCCCTACTGTAGGCCCACAGCTGGACAGGGTCGCCTGGGAGGACTCTTCCACTGGCTGCATAATTCTTTTAAAGGCAGTGGGCCAGGCCTCAATGTCTCACCCAGACCCCAGGCCTAGCCAGGCAGCCCCAACAATACTCCACCCCTCTGCCCCCAGCACCAATCCCACCTCACCTCGTTGACATTGATCCTGTTCCTCTCCATGTAGGCCCTGTCGTTGACCTGCCCACCCTCCACAAACTCCATGAGGAGCACCCTCTTAGTGGACAGCTCCCAGTAGATCCGGGGAACCTGGAGAAGGAAAAGGTGGGTCACATCATCAAGGGAGACTGTGGTCAGAGTGAGGTCCCTAGTGAAGCACAGGGAGCCAGACACCAACAGATGCTGCTTCACAGATGGAGCTACAGCCAGGGAGGAAAGGCTGAGCTGACTACTAGACAGATTGCCTAGACTAGGTGGCTCTTACAACAGAGCTTCATCACAAGTGCTTCATGGAGGTGGAAGTGGCTTCTCCATACCCCCCCAACCATTTCCCCAACTCTCCTACCCTCCAACCCCCCACACTCCACCCCACCCACCCCTGCTTCATCTTACTGCAAGCCAGACACCAAATCTGAAACAAGTATCTGGGAGCAAAATGCTTCCTATCTCCCCAGGAGCTGCTACTGTTTAATGTTTAATTTGAAATGTCCACCACAAGTTCTTATCTTAAGGCCTGGTCTCCAGCTGGTGGCACTATTTTGGAAGGTTGTGGAACCTTTAGGAGGCAGGGCCTGGCTGGTGAAAGAAGGCCAACAGAGGTAGGCCTTTGATACAGGAGCCCAGCCCCTGTATCTGGGAGTGCTCTGTTTTCTGGCCCCCTATGACAGAAGGAGCCTCCAGCATACCCTCCCCAGCCATGAACTCTACTATGACTTCACTGACACGTGGGCCAAAACTTTCTGAAGCCATAAAACATGAGAAATCCTTCCTTCCTTAAGTTGTTCCTGTCGATACTGTGGTCACAATGCTGCACAGGTAACTAACAGGTGTTAAGAGATATTTCCTGCTCCCTCTCCACCACCAGGTACTTTCATGGTCCTAATCCTACTATATGTTTTGGCACCAGAGAAATAGATGCATTGAAGGAATAGGTAAATTTGAACCAGACGATAAGTTCTGCTTTTATACCAGTCTCCTACCAGCCTCTTATGGCAGACAATGCGGGATCTTTTTGTTTGGGTTTGTTGGTTTGGGGGCTTGTTTTCTTTGAGACAGGGAGACTGGTCTGAAACACATTATATAGATCAGGATCTGCTTGCCTCTGCCTTCGGAGTGCTGGGGTTAAAGATATGTACCACTATGACTGACTTGTTTTGGTTTTTTTGAGAAAAAGTCTCACAATGTACCATGCCTAGCTTGGTTTTGTTAGGGGGTTATTTTTGAGTGTGTGTGTGTGTGTGTGTGTGTGTTCTTTTTTTTTTTGAGACAAAGTCTCACTATTTAGCCCTGGAACTCAGGGTTAGCCTGGAACTCACTATGTAGACCAGGCTAGCCTCAAAAATCAGAGTTCTGCCCGCCTCTGCCTCCCAGGTGCTGAGATTAAAGGTGTGCACCACCACACCTAGCTACAACCCTGGATCTTAACCCAACATCTATTCCCCATCTTTCTCTTTTCCACCTACAAGAAACATAAACTCTAATCCTGTCTGCCCCACAGTAGGTGTTTATGTGATGCAGTTCTAGTCCATCAAGCATAAGTGGGCGTTTGTTAGGGGATTCAGGGAAGGATGTCTATATGAAACCAATACTCTTTCTCTTCTGCCTTGAAAGTGAATGTGATTCTTGGACCTGCAATAGCCATCTTGCAACCATGAGGGAAAAAAAATCTCAGAAAATCAGAGATACCAGCCCTGATACTGTCAAAGGACAGTTTTAACACCAGCAGGCAACTGCTGCAAGCCTTCTTGCTATGTAAAAAGAATAAATAATTTTTAAGACAATGTTGAATGTGCTTTCAGTTATCTGCAAACAAATTTTATAATAACTGACATATTTCAATTCCTGTGACTCTGAAAATACCTAAGAGCAGAAGGAAATAGACTTCCCCAGGAACAGCAAGGGGTTAGAGGGCATCAAGGGCCACTGTGATACCACACCAGCAGGAGACACCATCAGTACCACCACAACCAGGATGCTTTCAGCAGGCTGATTCCCCCCAATTTTTTAATAAAAGTGCTATTGAATTTTTACAAGTTTAATTCAATCTATTTTAATCATATTTAGACCTCCTCCCCTATCTGCACCCCTCTTATACACCTACACCTGTTTTCATGTACTCTTCCCTATGTATTAAGGCCTACTGAGCCAAGTTTGTGTCCCCAAATGTCCCTTGGTGTGTATCCATCCACTAGAGACTGGTTAACCTATCTAGTGTCACACCCTTAAAGAAAACCAATTCACCCTCTTCCAGTAGTCATCAGGTGCCAATAGTTTCTCAGCTAAGGTTGGGGCTTTTTATCCACTTACTCACTTCTATGCTGGGATTTTAACTGGTATGAGCTTACAAGAATAAAAACCAAGAGCCACTAATTCAAGTGTTTTGAAGACTAAGTTCTGCCCTCACCCACCCCCAAGACTCATCCAGCAATAAGACAGTAGCCCTCGAGTCCAGTGACCTACTTCTGTTCTTCTGAGAAAGGTGCATCATCAAACATCCTCTTACCTCCTCATGCCTCAGTCTCCTTTGCTGGCAAGGAGCACTGTCACTGCCCACCTTGGGAAAGGGCCCTGCAGGAGTTAGGGCTACCCACAAGTGAAGTCCTGTAATGAGACCTCCCTATACTGAGCTGTTAGCTTAGCCACTGCCCTAAGTTTCTGCCATTTAAAATCTGGGCCAATCAAGAAATCTGTGCCTCTCTACAGCTTGGAAAGTAAGATTTAGACTCACTTGTCATCTTTCCAAATTGAGTGCATGTTTGTTGTCGTTCTTGGTCTCCAAGGGAAAGGTATGTTACTTTGGGGCTAAGTTCCTCCCTTGGTTTAGAAACCTGAGCTTGCCATGAGCCCTGGGGCTTGGCAGACAGAAAGTCAGGCCCAGCAGGGCCTGCTGGGCTACTTGCAGGACAGCCAAGAGTGTGCCAAGGGTGGAGCAAGAGCCCAAGGCTGCAGGCTCTCTGGGCTGCAGGGGCAGGAGTGAGCTGAAGCCTCCCTCGCATAGCTTCACTCGCTCTAATGTGACCATTCCAGTCTGATTATCATGTGCCCTTTGCCCCAGCTACTCGGAGCAGAGATGACAGGAGCATCAGCCCTGGGAAATGGACATTTGTCCCAGGAACCCAGGAAGGACTAAGTGTGGATAACACATGGAAATAGCCACAAAAACTGCAAAACACCAAACTATATAACTTGTCCCTCTAGTGTCATACACTAGAAGGGTAGAAGGGTTTAGGTGTGTAAAGTTCACTCACTAGACAGCTGTCTCCCTACTACCCCTCCACTTCCTCCATCTAGGAAGGGAAATGTGGGAAAGGAGACTGGCAAAAGGCAGTAAGAAAGCAGGCCTCTGAGAGGCTCCCTGCCAGGTGCTCACTGACCTCAGCAGGGTTACACCTGACCTACGGGACCCTGGTCCATGGCCTGTGTCATACAGAACAGTTCAGCAGAAGCCCACTGGTAGGCTCCACCTGTTCTCACACTGAAGCTATCCCAAGAAGCCAAGCCCAAGAAGCAGGCTATGAAAAGTTCTCCCCAAGACCTTGGGTAGCAATAGATTCATGGCCAGACCTAACCTTGGGCTTCTTCTTTGTCCCTGTGCTGTGGCTCATCTGGACCTCAGCTATCCTCCAGGGTGTGGTTGTCCTACAGTCAGAGAGTGACCAAGAGGAACACAGACCAGAGGGCAGACTGCCCAGCCCTGGTTCCTACTTGCTGTATGCCTGTGGATACATACTTAGCCTCTCTGAGTGTCAGTGTGCCCCCAGTAAGATGATACTAATACTTATAGAGGAAGCCATACTCCACTTTCCATCAGCAGGAGCAAAGAATAGGTGCTCCTCAGAGGACCAGATGCTGAGACCTGCTGGGTGAACACCAGCTCCTCTCTGACAGCCACGCGGTGACTCATGGGGGTCTTGATCCATTTCAGAGCTGAGTCAAGGCAGTAGACTTACGCATACTCACGCATCTCCATGATGCAGAAGCTTACTAACAAGTATTAGAAAGGCAGTTTGATGTGAAGGCTCTGAGCCATGGTTGCTTCCACCCCAAGCCTGCTTCTGACTCTTACTGGTGCACTCTATAACCCCAGGCTAATGACTTAATCATTCGGGACTTCTGCTTCCCCAATGATGACATGAGGTTTAAAATGACTTGTCCTTTGTGGGGCTATTAGAAGGATTACAGAGTGAGTGCATGTGAAGCACTTTTAGAAGTGTCTAATACATAAAAAGTTAACTATTAGCATACAGTTGTTCATCTTTGAGAGTCTAGTAAGCTATGGCACTTCTCCATCCCTCAGGGTATGTCCACAGCTGCTGCAGTGTCCCAGGTTCCTGATTCTCACACAAGGAAACTGAGTGACACTTCCTGAGGCAGGTCTCTCCCATCCCCGCTCCACCCACAGGTGCACCCTTCTCCCATCCAGTCCCAAACCCGTGCTTAGAAGGCTTCTCCCTTCCTGCCTGTCCACAGCCATCCCCCAGGTTAGTCACAGACCCCACTGTTTGGTCCAGCCATGCTCTGATGAATGACAGGTCCACAAATACCTTGGTCCTGACCCTTTGGCTTGGCAGCCCTTCACTTCCCTCCAGCTAACTCCTTATTTACATTCAGCACCAGTTTGAGGCCCAGAGATTTACTGCACAGAGCTGAGGTTATTAAAACCCCCATAAGCACTGGAAGAGGCCTCACACACTGAGAGGTAAACTCTTTGCTGAGGCTTAATTACTCACAGATGTTGTGATGGGGCGCCAGTGTGCAAGCGTAATCTATCTCCAATTTTAAGAGCTGAGCTGGGTTCATAGCACAAAATTCACTTCCTGCTTATGGTGTGTTTAGGCAAAATTAATTACTCAGGAGCCTCCATTCCACCATTGTCATAGGAATGGTGTGCGAGTTCTGGCAGCCGTGGGTCAGATCGGTATGTTAATTATTTACCCATTTGGCATTCTTGTTTCAAAAATTTGTGTTATTATTATTATTACATGTCTTGGTCTGGCAGTTGCTAGGTGGCCCCAGCCAGGGGATGATTCTGCTGTTTCCATGGAAACAGTGGAGGAGATGGTTGGGTCTGTCTGGCTCAGCACTCTAGCACCAAAGGGTACTTCTGCAAGGTAAAAGGTGGCAGAAACTCTGAGATGAGCATGAGAGTCAGAAAGCCTTGGCTGGAACTGGAGCTCTACTCAAGACACAGCTGTGCAATGGGGTAGTGCCGAAAGGGGCATCATCATGGCATTGTGCACACTGTTGTTGTAAGTGCCTGGCACACAAAAAAAGTCACTGAACACTGCAGTCTGCTCTGTACAGTCAGCACGTTTGAGAAGCCCTCTGAGTTCTCTGTCCTAGGTGGATTAAGTACTTCCTCATGGGAAACCACCAAAACACAGATGTGTTTATTGTGTGTAAAGCACTCTGTACAACAGCAACACATGTGTCTGTTTGCTCCCCATTAAGTGAGACATTTTCCAGGGCAGAGACCAACCTCCAATGCCTAACACAGCAAAGGCCTAGGAAACATAAATACAGGATAAAGGAAGCGGAGAATGGGACATGCAAGTGGACACACGTTTGAGGCCCTGAAGCTTTATGCTAAGAAGCCCTTGTTACCATGCAGCAGAGAGCCCAGTTTTCACTGACCTGGTAGTCAAGGGTGGGGTGGAGCTACCACATCCAGTCTGTACCTCTGGGTGCACAGCAGAGTCTACACATTCATGACAGGGGACAACAAGAGCCAGCCTGAGACAGACCTGACCCCCAACACACTCAAAGCTAAACATCTGTGTTTTGGCTTCCCACGAGGAAGTACTTAATCCACCTAGGACAGAGAGCTCAGGGGGCTTCTCAAAAGTGCTGACTGTACAGAGCAGACTGCAGTGTCTGGACATGCTGACCTCATTTAGCGTGTCCAGACACTGCATGTGATGTCAGCTATCCTTGTGGCCTGAGCTTGTGAATTCTCAGGTTCATACACACACACATCTCCTATATGTGTTTCTGTGCTACAGAAACCTAATCACTTCCTCTATTTCTCACAACATCTTCAGAAGCCACATCATCATGTCACCTTTCCCAGGCAAAGACAACCTCAGAACTAGCACAGCAAAGGGTTCTAGATTTCTGTGACACTCTCTGCAGGGAGGCAAATGGGCTGGTGTGCTGGATAGCTTTAGTTGACAACTTGACATACCTGGGTAGAGGGAGTCTCAACTGGGGAATTGCCTCCATTGGACTGACCTGTGGTCATGTCTGGGGGGCAGTTTCTTGATTATTGAGTGATGTGGGAGGGTCCAGCACACTGTAAGTGGTGCCACCCCTGTGCAGTTGGTCCTGTGTTGTATAAGAAAGCAGAATCCCAGCACTTGGGAGACAGAGGCAGGCGGATCTCTGTGAGTTCGAGGCCAGCCTGGTCTCCATAGCGCATCTAGGCCAGCTAGGGCTACAGGGAGACTGTCTCAAACAGACCAAAAAGAAAAGAAAAGAGAAAAGAAAAGAAAAGAAAAGAAAAGAAAAGAAAAGAAAAGAAAAGAAAAGAAAAGAAAAGAAAAGAAAGCAGGTTGAGCAGGGACCAGGGGACCAAGCCAGTAAACAGTATTCCTCCATGGCCTGTGCTCCAGCTCCTACCTCCAGGTTCCTTCCCTGAGTTCTTACCTTGGGCTCCCTGATGAACTGTGACTTGGGAGATGTGAGCCAAATAAACCATTTCTTCCCCATGCTGGTATTGGTCAGTGTTTTTTCACAGCAATCGAAGGCAGACTAAAACAGGCTAGTTTCTTTCAGAGTTGAAAGGCAAGCTCTCTGCACAAACCCAGGAAGGCTCTCCATCCCCCAAGTCATGGCAAGGCAGGAACTTCCCTATCCCCAGTAAATGAGCACAAACCCCCACATAGGACAAAGCATGTTGGAAGAACAGTGATGCTGGCCTACATCTTGCTCATTCCAACTCTGTGTCCTGAGGAACATGGTCCTCAAAACCAGCTCCCACATCCCCTCTTCAGCAGACCCTTCTGTGATGGACCATGATGGTGTCTGTGTCCAAGCCCAGCCTCTCCTGAGGCCTGCAGCTGGGATTCCACAATTTGATAGTATTTCCCTTAGTATCTTTGATTACATAGGGCAATTCTACTGAACACTTGTTTTTGGAAGCACAACTCTGTTCCAATGCAATTAATATATTTGGTTTGATCAAAATGCAAATTTTGTATTTGCTCCCATGCACTATCACCTGATAGAAACACTGTGAACACAGAAAACTGCATCCAGCTGAGCTGCACCATATGGGAATACAAAACACATGCACACCTCAACAGCACCACATGTGGGGCACGTACCCATGTCCGTCCTCAACAGTACTACATGGGGCACCCACCCATGTCCGCTGTTACAACTTCCAGCTTCAGATGATTCTCTTTCCACCACTTCATAGAAGCTCACAGGCAAAAATCCTCATATGCCCACTTCCACAGGCTGAGTTCAAAGCAGAGGATGCTGTGTCCTGTGGTCTTACAGATTTCTTAGACATTTGTGTGTAAACTGTGCCTCTCTTCTTACAGTTTCTATCTTCTTTTCTGTGCCACTGGTGATGTTTTTGAGTATTGTACCCTTATGTCCATTTTCCCCATAATCCCCATAGGTTCTCCTGTACAAGTCTGCATTTTATATTGATTTCTAGAAACACGTGTTACAGCAAATTAAATGTATATTAAATGAGCTTGTGTAATATGCATCTTTGCAATAGGGTTCAAGTACAGTACTGTTAGCTATCATCATCGCCACCACCGTTATTATTAAGCCATGCTCTGTGGAGGCAGAGGCCACAGCACATAGTCCCAAGGGGACACTTAGTGTCCATTATGCCATAAACATCTGTTTACTTGACTGGCAGGCCAACAATCACACTATAGTTTGGTTTTTCTTTTTTTTTTTTTTTTTTTTGGTTTTTTTTAAAAGGGTCTAGCCCCAGCTGGCCTGAAACTCACTATGTAGATCAGGCTGGCCTTGAACTCACAGAGATCCACCTGCCTCTGCCTCCCAAGTGCTGGGACAACAGGCATGCGCCACCACACCTGGCTTGTTTGAATTTTTTTGTTTCATTTGTTTGAAATCGCCTTCAAGGGCTTTAGTTATGTATCTCCAATAACAAATTACTCATGTAAGTAAGAAACCTCAGGCAAGGAGGTATCCCAACACACACCCTTTAAGTGCAGATACCAGAGATAGGACCAGTCCCAGTCCTGCACTGGCTCCTTCCTACTACCCTGCCCTTCTACCTTTAGGAAGTCAAAGTGCTTGAGCATGTGGGCCACTTTCTCTGCGTTCTTCCCTTCGTTGAGGAAATCCAGCTCAAGAGGCAGGTTCTTCTTGGCTTCATCCACCAGCCACATGAACTCGAACTCTGGAAAAAGCTGTTTCACAGCCAGGACGAGCACCTGAAATCCACCAAGCTTCATGTCAGTCAGCCCATGGCACACACCAAGGGAAGTATATTTCCTACCCTCTGCCTGGGTCTCCCCTGGAGGAAAGGTGGGTAGAGTAACTGCTCCCCTGGTTTCTAATGCTGTAATTACCACTAGTTCAAGAAGATGCTAGGCCAACAGCCTCCAGAAGTAACCTTGACAACCACTAGCTGGGTACCCAGCATTGTGCTCCCTTAATCCACACAACAAGGGAGATGTGTAGGTGCACAGTGTGTCATACCCTCCTCACAGACAAGGCCACCCAGGCTCTGAGAGTTTGCGAGACTTTTCCAAATCTGCCAAACAAGGGAATCCAAGGCTGGTTCCACGGGGTCTACCAAACTCCAAAGACCTTGCTGTGCCCATTCCCATACTTGCTCCTATTGCTTTTGTTTTGGTTGTTGTTCATTTATTTACTCATATGGGGTATTAGGGATTAAACTTAGGGTCTTGCACACAATAAGCAAGCTCTCTACAACTGACCCACATCCTCAGTACACACTGTTCTTCGCCAACCTGCATATGGCAGAGTGGAGCTGCTGCTGTCACTTCTTTACTTTCCCAAGCTGAGTGGCTGGTGGTACTGGAGCAGTTATAATGCAGGCTGAGCTTCCCTGATCCAAAAATCTGAAATCAGAAATGCTCTAAAATCTGAAACTTCACGAGTGCTGGCATGATATCACACATGGAAAATTCCACACTTGACCTCATGTGACAGGCTGCAGTCAAAATGCAAGAGCACTAAAAATAATGTATAAAATTACCTTCAGGCTATGAGCACAAGATATATAGAAGACATAAACTAATTCTGTCATTAGACATGGTGCCATCCCCAAGACATCTCATTATGTAGGTGCAAAATTCCAAATCAAAAAAAGTCTAAAACACTCCTGATCCCAACCATCTTGGATAAGAGATACACTCATCCTGTCTTATTTTCTATGCTCTCTGAATAAAGTAAGACCTTTCAGAATAAAAATAATAATAATTGGAATAAAACAGGCTAGACAAGACAAGGCTTGTCCACATGGTTGAAAAGCTCAGGGTTTTGGTAGTTGGGTTCACTGTGGATTCCCGAATGACGAGGTGATGAAGAGGGGATGAGAAGACTTATTGGGCATTTGGGTGCCAGTTTGATGATGTGAATTAAATGTCATGGGCAGAGAACAAGAGCCCAGTGAGAAGCAAGCACTCACCACAGCCCCCACACATGTGGGGACTTGATGCCAATGCTCCCCTCACCCCCAGCTTCCCCTTCTCATCTCCAAAAAGGCCTCTACAAGCCCTCATGATAGGCCAGTCCTGTGCCTCTGTGCTGGCCTCAGATTATGCACACCATACTAGACCTCTGTAATACAAAAAAAATATTCCAAATCTAAAAGCAAAGCCATCAAAAAAAAAAAAGCATTTGCTTCTTTGTTTTGAAACTTGTGTCCTGGGTGAGGTATCAGATGTCATTCTAAAAGAATCATCACACGGGGTTACCATGGTCAATTTCTAACAAAGCCTTTTTAATTACATTAGGCTGTTGTCTAATTTCTTTTCAGTCTTGTCTAGCCTCTCATGGGCTAGACCTGTGACCTTATGCCAACCAATTTCATTTGTTCTGCTTCTGTTTCTGTTGCACGAAACAAGAAGGGAGCAGCGGCCACAGCGAGGCTGGGGTCCCATGCATCAGACCCAGGCATCTGGATGCAGCAGCCTATAGGCACTGCATCTCATCAGGTACCCCCAGATGACCCTCAGCTGTACCCCCAGATGACCCTCAGCTGCCACTGAAGCAGTGAGCAAGTGTACAAGAAGCAAAAGTGGCCTGCCCAGATTGAGGGCATGGGGGGAGGGGCACTGATGGTATCGGAATTACTCTCTCTGGGTTCAATTTTGGCAAAGAAAAGCTCCAGGCATTTCACTCAAGTCTAAATTCTGGGGCCTCATCCAGGAGGTACAGGAAAGGAGCTCAAGTAAGTTCTCTCACTTGCACAATCAGGACTTTACGTCTTGGGCCAAACCTGAGTATTCACAAACCTGGATATACATGTGCCTACCCAGAGCCTATCCGGGGGAACCGCTAACCAAGCAGTCATTACTCAGCACTTCATGTATGTTCGTACTATTTATTAAAGTTGTAATTATCTTTAATATCCAAATGTACTGAAAGGTACTTTAAAGGTTTTTTCCATTGCTAATCATTACATAATTAGTCATTCCTAACACTATCGGTCAGACACTTTTCATTGATTAGTATTAATTGCTAATAACTAATTAGAACATTAATTCATAACCTCAAACCTTCTCTTAGAACTGGGTTCCAAGTCATTCTGTGGGTGGTAGGTTACTCAGTGGTTACAACAGTTCCCTCTTACATGACAAGAATATGTTTACAAGACTTCTCTGGATACCTGAAAGTGCATATAGTAGCAAATCCTGCATTTACTGCTCTTTCCTATATACACAGGCCTATAGGTCATAAATTAGGCATAGCAGGAAAGTAAGAAAAATAACTAGTATAATCATATACTGTAATAAAAATTATACAAATACTTTCTCTCTCTCTCTCTCAAAATATCTTACTATGCTGAACTGACTGTGGTCGGCTGTGGGTAACTGAGCCACAATTACTGAATACTGTGAAAAATGAAACTAGATAAGGGGAGTTTTCTGTCCTTTAAAATGAGAGGCCTGTGGGCCAGCAAGATAGCTCAGTGGATAGAAGCATTTGCTGCACAGCCTAACGACCTGAGTTCAATCCTCAGAATCCATAGTGGAAGGGAAGAAGAATCTAACTCCTGAAATTGCCTTCTGGACCACACACACACACACACACATACACACATACATACAGCCATACATCACACAAATACATAATATTCATTTTATATTTTTATTGAATTTTTGTGCATTTCGTATACTACATCTCAATTATATTTAGACCTCTCCTCCTATCTCCACCTCCCATACCCCACCCCCAGATAATGAGAGGTCTGTTGGCAAGGAAGCCAGCAGTCTTGAGTTTACAGCAGGTCACGGTCCCCCTACAGGAGGTAGGCAACTTGAAGTTCTAATGTCAGTTAGAAAGTCCAGGAAGTGTACAAACACAGTTTTTCCCCTAAGTCAAAGATTCACCAACCCTCTAACATTCACTGGGTGAGGAAGGGGATCAAGGGAAGAATCACGGGGTCTGGGGGGGGTGGCAGGGGTAGCAGCAGCTGCCACCTCAGACTTCTCCTGATTGACAAGAGCAGAGAAAAGCCTATTTCACCCTCTGGGTTCATTACATCGCCATCTAAGGGCCTGCCCTAAGTAGATCCATTCTGGTTTCTTTTTGACAACAGATGCAATCAACTAAAATAAAACAGGTGTTGTTATCTCTTTGCCGTTTTGATTTTTCTCTTAAAGTGCATCTTCCCCATAAAATTCTTCTTGCAGCCAATGTTTTCACCACCAGCCAGCATATTCCCAACATTCACAGATGTTTATTGGACACTCACACGAATCAGTGAGTACATAAACAAATGAACACATGAATATTTCTAAGTATTTGGCTTCTCTGAGATAATTACATGCCCACATTTGTGTAATCGAAATGAACTGAATTTTTGTTTGGGAGATTTTTTTGGGAAAAGGGATCACCTCTGAGTTTTTGAGAACCACAGTTCATAATAACTGAGAATTCGCTACCAAACCTAGAGCCTTATCAATCAAGGTATATTCAACAAGTAATGTCTCCATCAAGGTAAAGGAGTAAAAATGAGAGCTGGGCATGGTAGCTCATGTCCAGTCCCAGCACTAGGGAGACTGAGGCAGGGGATTGCCATGAGTTTAAGACCAGCCTGAGCTACATAGGGAGTTTCAGGCCAGCCTGAGCTAGAGTGAGACTCTCTCAAAAAGAGAAAGAGAAGAAAAACAAAGTAAAAGGTAATGAAACTATTTTCCTGTATAGTAAGTAACTGGTTCACAGTAGGGAAAAAGCAATTGTGAGCCAAACAGAAATACAACAGAAAAATGGAGTCTGTAGATATTTGAAAATTAGTGATAGAAATAATCATTATGTACCACCTACTATACACTGGCACTGTGCAACTGGTCACTTCAAAGACACACTCTCACTTAATCCTTCTGCCCACGCCACACAGAGAAGGAAAGAGGTTCTAGGAAGTCAAAGCACTTCTTAGGGTCATAGAGCTTGGAACTGTCAAGACAGAATCTGGACCCAGGTTTTTCCTGTTCCTTCTTTCTAGAGTCCTGTCTCATATAATACAGTGTGCGTCAGTACAACAGGAAGCTAAGATAAGGCAGAGACAGCACTGTGCAAATGGTAAGACGCAACTGCAGTGAAGTTACCGTTATCACATTATTATGCACTATAAAGGAAACAATGCTCTATGGGAAAGCAGCGCACTGAATAGAATGCCTGCACTGACCCAAACTAGTGAAAATGGGTGCTGCATAAGCATGGAGAATCAACTCAGGCTATGTAAACAGCCTGTCATTCACAGGGTTTATCTTTGTTCCGATAAGTTATTAAAGTGCACAAGTTTAAGAACACAGAGCTACACAGTGAATGGAAGTTTCCATGGGGCAGCTTATATCCCTGCATATTTATGTATAGCTATATCTTTTAACTAAAATCAGCCATTGAATTCTGTGCCAACACTGAGATTACCTAGCCACCCACTGTTCAATCAGCACATTTAGAAAAAAACAAGATGACTGACAGCATGAAAATGTTGCTCAAAAAAAATCAAAAACATGACTGACAAGAGTCACTATTTTTAAAGACCCTTGGGAAGGGCTAAGTGGCATCAAGCAGTGGATCGGATATTGACACCTTGGGCCAGAGAGCTCTACCCCAGCGTATCAGAGTATCCTTGGACTATGGCACATGCGTGGCATAGCGTTGGCCATGACTAGATTCTTAGGGAATAACAGAGCTCGGACTGGATGGCACCAGTTTCTAGAGACAATGAGGAATG